AGAAGCGCGCAACACTTTGTTTAAAAAATGAAATAAAATAAGGTATCATTCGATATTCTCTATGAAAAGTGCGCAATCGTAGTTCGGTGAACGAGACCAGCTTTGATAACATTTGACCATTGACCAGCAACACCTGCAGACCATGGTGTCGGGCTATGACCTTATCTGTACAGGGGACATAACGTATTCTACGGGTGGAGTTATAAAATCGGTCAAATTGTCCCAAAGCTCTAGAACATATTCTCAGCTAGATTACATCATTGCTATGGAGCTTGGTGTGGCGTATTTAGGTTGATTTAAAAGTAGAAATATATTTTAGGCTTTATTTATTCAAATTGCTTTTATTATATTACACCGTATTAGATGTAAGATTAACAATTACAAGTTAACAATCAAATTATATGATTATAAATGATATGTTATGATATATACAATATATCGCAGAATCTGTGGATTTAATAATATCATTATATTAATATATTATATACAATATTATATTATATAATTATAATATAAGTATACGACAGTTGACATTCATGTTTCAAAAGAAACACTTCTCCATTTTATTGTGAATAAAATATTTCAAGAAAATCATATACAGTAGTACTACCTCCCTGTAAAAGACAACACCTAATTGCAGAGCCAAAGTGTTTTTAGGGAGAGGTGTCCTCTTACCGGAGAATCACTAAATAGTAAAAATGGTAATTTTACAAATGAAAACTGTCCTTTGTGGAGAGGAGTTCTCTAGCACGAGTGTTCTCTCATGGGGGTTCTACTGTAATAGTTTTTATTCCAATATTAATCCTCCCATTAAATTTTCCATTGCAGTAAGGACAGTAGAAATTGTTTATTTTTAAAAAAGAATCATACGTGTCTATAATAGTTTCGAATTTTGATGACAGATGGCGTGCTAACGCATCACCATATTAAGAGGATATGATGTCTGAGGTAAATTATACTTTGGGCACAATATAGCAAAAGTTTATTGCCATTGATTTGTAAAATGCGGAGATTATATTCGTATTTAATTTCGGGAAACTATATTTTAAAGTTTCTTTTGAACGTAAAAATCAAAAATTATTTTAAGGAAAAATAACGATTATTTCTAACCTTAGGGATAAAGTATGGATGGATGAATTGTGAAGAGTAATGATAAACGGAAAAATATAAGCTCAATTAAAGTTATTTATAATCTTCACTATTTTTATTATACTTTAAAGATTATTCCCACGACTGCAGAACAATTTTGTAAAATACTCATGTATACCAAAATCAAGCAACAGATAATAATTCTGTAGATTTTAAAATATTCCAAAATCTGCAGAAAATCTTTTTATAATATACATTTGAAATACTATCCCGCATGTGTTCTTTTTTCAACGAAAAATCAAAATTTATTTTAAGGAGAAATAACGATTATTTCTAACCTTTTGGATGAGGTATGAAAGGATGAATTGTGAAGAGTAATGATGAACGGAAAAATATAAGTGTCTAGGGATGGCACCTGCCCGGTAAGCGGAACACTGTGGGTTCGATTCCCATCCCAGGACACTTTTATTTTTTGTTTATCATTACTTTTCACAATTCATCCTTTCATACCTCATCCAAAAGGTTATAAATAATCGTTATTTCTCCTTAAAATATATTTCGATTTTTCGTTGAAAAGAAACACATACGGGATAGTATTTCAAATGTCGTTTTACAATCACAAGCCGCATTATATTATATTGTATAATATACATTGTCAAAGAAACACGTTTGACCAATTATTTTACAAGAATATCTAACTCAGGTATTGGTTATATCTGCTTATATACTTTATTCAGTAGTAAAATGTGACATTTATACATGGGAGCATATAAATGGGGTATAATAGGGCTAATAATATGTCAATGCAATCATTTAATATTTTCATTTTTAGTAATGAAATTATCTTATTTCAAATTATCTTATTTTATTTGACATATCGGACGTGATATCCCAGCTCGGGATATTTGCGTCTAAATACATTTTATCAACTTATATAAAATTCAATAACCGGACTAAAAGCATAATTAAAACTTAAACGATGGTATTCTAAAACAGAAGAGAAAATCCCAAATGAATTATTTTAACAACCTTTATACAATTCATTATATACAATTCAATAACCGACTAAAAACACAATTAAAACTGAAACGATGGTTTTTTCGAACAGAAAATCTAAAATGAATCTACAAAAATTATTCAATTTCACATAAGTGTCTTTTTTATATACAAATTCGCAAATTTCTTCCATGGGATAAAAAATCATAAAAGCGCTAAAGCATTTCATTTTATTTATAAATCTGTCAATAAGGCTTGTTAAAAAAAATAAATTTTCAACAATGAATATTGTGTTTGTTGAAATATTTATGGATTCGTAGAGAAATAACCTTTATTACATAAAGATATAAAACAATAAAAGAAGGACAAATTATATGTACATCAGCAGCCGGTCTGTCCTATCCAATAACCACTAGCCAACTAACAATCCAACAAAGCTGTGATATATAGACAGAGATGTCAATTTGCATAGACAATACTGAAAAACTATGCAAATCACACGAATATTCCATCGTAGAAATATCCGGAATTGACACTTTCAACAGTGCTTTAAAACGATAAATTCAAAAGATAAAATAATTGTATTTCATCCCTCACATATATTATTACCATTTTCACCCACTTGTTAAAATACTGAAATAATCCTTCCATTGTTTTGGTCAAAGAATGATTCATTTATTCTTCTGTATAAATAAAATTAAACATTTATATAAAAAATTCAAACACTAATCTTTTATCCTAATTAGAATTTATTAATAAAGATTTTAAAGATACATTGTTAAAGAAACAAGTATTTAATCTTTATTGTCTTCTGCTAAAGTTCTATTTAACAAACGCATAATTAAACTTTTAAAAGCATTTCACTTACTTCTTAATGTTTCAACTTATTCCCAAAAGAGAAAATTTCATTTTTATTATTAGCATTTTTTTCTTGAAAATTTTCATAATTTCAGTGAAACCAATTTTTTTTAAATAATTATCTTAGATTATTTGAAAAAGAAAAAAAAAAACTTTAATTACTTCTCTTTTTTTTTTACTCAAATTGAAAAAAAAAAGGAAAAGGAAAAATAACTTTTGGAAGACTTAAAATTAAATACCAAACGAAGGCTCAATTTAGAGTAATCTTCGTCTGGCAAAGTTTTCTCTGATTGGCTAGCTGAGGAAAAATCTTTATTTTTGGAGAGCTCGAGATAAACAAGCTTTAGATCACTGAGCAAAACTAATTTTCATCCATTGAAATCCACGATATTTTGGGAAATAATTTTTCCAGGTAGAACTCGAAATAAATATTTTCAATACAACTTTCCTCGTTATATATATTTCATAATAAAAATATATTTAATACACCACACACAGCGCAACGATATTTTCATTGAAAATAAATAGATTTTTATATATTAATAATATTTTTCAGTGAGATAGAAATAAAAAAAATGCGTGAAAAATAAATGTAACAAAATATATTTTCAGAATAAAAAAAGTCAAAATGTTTAAAAATAGAAATACAGTTAAATCTGTCTATAGCGCCCCCTCTAAAGAGCGCCTCCCTCTATATAGCGCCCGATTTTGAATACGTAGTACGATGCGATTTACATTAAAAGTGACCTGTCTATAGCACCCCCTCTCTATAGCACCCTATTTTGGTGAGTCCCAAGAGGGGGCGCTATAGATAGGTTTAACTGTATCTATTGTAAAATAAAAATGTATTGAGAAATATATTAATATTAGATTTTTAAACAAATGAGACCGTTATAAATGGAATATATAAAATATTTGTATATTACTTGAATGAGAATAGAAACTATTATAGGCGCGTATGATTCTCTTGAAAATTAAACAATTTCTACTGCCCTTACTGTGATGAAAAATTAATGGGAGAGCTTCAAAAGAACCATACGCGTCTATATTAGTTTCAAATTTTCATAACAGACGGCACGTTTATGCATCATAATACTGCTTGTGTTTGAAGTTTATATGTTAATTTTGTAATTATGTATTCTTATTTTTTAATTCATAGAAGCATTTTTCTGGCAGACGTATTCAATTTTTTATCATCATCAGATATATTAATGTTTTTTTTCTTTGTTAGTTATCAAATCATTTATAATTGTAGTTTCTTTTTGTTTTGTTGTGTTCCTTTTTAAGCAATAAAATACATAGAACTAAGGTGTAATATTCAATTCAAACATATGGAACCATCATCGATTCATTTTTGAAACAAAGCAAAATCATAAGCTTATACAACTTTCACTTTTTCATACAACTTGTTTATCATAAACCTTTTAAACATTTTTTCTTTGTTTCAACGAATTAAGCAATCAAAGGGAAAAAGATACAATAGCCATTAAATACCAGGAGTTTACGTGGAAACCAATTTAAGCCAATAACTGTGGTAGCAATAATATTTCAACAAAACTAAAACAAAATTATATTTCAAGAAGAAATAAAGAATTCCAACGGAGTGTTCAACTTTCTGCAGGAGGAGAAATTGGCTACAAATTTATTACTAGAATCTATGTTTGTCTCGTTCTGCGCTAAATGGCAAGTTTCTTGGCTCTTGGAATAGCAATATTAATATTGGTAGAACGCTTTAGAACGACACCAGTTCATGGAAATACTCCTTTATTTTACAATATATTTACATTCTATAACATTCAAAGTAATATATTCCGTTATCATTATTTATTATTTTTGATTATCTCTCGTACACGTGGTACAGGCCATGATAATCATGGTGGGTAGAGGTTATGACTGCTTTTACTGTAAGTGCATCATATGTCTACAAATGCGAAAAGCAGTTCGACTTTGCACTTACAAATGTGTCATAGACCCGTTTGGTTACTTGCACTCGCTGGTGGGGTTGGACTTTTGCAAGAATCGGGAGCCATTGGAGCATTTTTAAATCAGAAAAAAAGTGCCCAATGCGGGAATCGAACCCGGGTCGTTGAAGTCGAAAACCAACGGTTTAGACCAAGCATGTCAAACTCAAATCCTAACACGGGCCAAATAAAAAAGTAATAAGATTATGTGGGCCGCAAAAAAAGAAAACAAGTAATTAAATATTTATAGTAACATTTATGTAGGTTTATTTTAAAAAATACTAATAAGAAAAAAGAAAGTAAAGTTAATATTTTCTCCCTGATATTTGGCATCTTTTTTCTGCTACCATCTTTCCTACTTCGGGGGAAATCTTGTTCGCAGTGATTAATTTTAAAACTGACCCAAGGTGAACGTCAGTAATTCTCGATCTGATTGGAGACTTATTTCCTTTCATAAGTGAAAATAACTGCTCGCACCGATAAGTACTTCCAAACATGGACATAATTTCATATGCTAATTTTCGAGTGTTTTCAAATCTGGCTGGCAAATATTTGTAAAATTCAGAAACGCCAACTTCAATGAATTTTGCCTTTAAATCTGAATCGCACTGGATATCTATTACCTCTATTTGCATATGATTAGGTACTGATTCTATATTTATCAAGAAAATCGAAGAAAACAAAGTAAACTTGTAAAAATATATTGTCTGGTGGGCCGCAAATTTATTCGTTGTGGGCCGCATGAGGCCCGCGGGCCGCGAGTTTGACATGCTTGGTTTAGACCATCCTTCCACCGAACCCTCTGTCCATTCCGTTATTTAATGCATAAATGTTTACTTTGCTTAGAGACTGTTTAAAGAAACTGATTCCAAGAAGATTGATCAAACATTATAGATTTACAAGAGAGAGAACAAACAGAAGAATACCTTATTACAATAGTAAACAAAGAAACAACTTTCTATCTATTACGGTTAGCGCCTATTTGCTTTTGAACTCACACACATACTCTGTGAGTACAATTAATTATTTTGACTTATAATATATTTTGTTGAATCATGGCTAATATGCACCTATTTTATTTTAATTTGTAATATTCTTCTTCATATATTTTAAATTTATATTTATATTTATTTATTTTCTTAAATATAATATATATATATTATAAACAGATTTATGTATTATAAAATCATAATTTGTATTTAGGTACACTGTTCACTGCTCTCTTTGATGTGAGAAATAAATTCTCGAGGCTACTTAAAGTTATCTCATTATTCCCTTATATAAATTGGTAGGATGGTTGAAACACGCTCTGGTAAGATACAAGACCCGGCATAGGAGAGAATCAAGGTTGAAGAGTCTGCCAAGCCGCAACCTGGTGCAACAATATACTCACATTTTTTTTAATTCATAAAGTAATTATATTTACCTCATTAAATTAATATTATTTTGTTGGTTTATTTTCTTGTTTATTGCGATTTTATTTGTAGAATTTTTGAGTACAGATGAGCGTAAATCTTTATAGAAATTATGATACATTAGCGTGCCATCTTCCTTCATCACGCCTGTAAATGGTACTTCCCCACACCGCATCAAAGCAAGCTACATAAACCCTTTGTAAATTCGAAACTATTATAGACGTCTGAAAAAATAGTACAAATGTGATATTGTTCTGGGATAAGGTGCATAAATTATAAAAAAAAGACATCTCCTTATCGTGTAACTGAAATTTGTTGATGGCTTGCGCCATCTATCGGAATAAATATAAACTATTATCGTTAATTTTTAATCATTCCAATTATTCTTAATCAAGAATGGGTATTTGATCAATTCTGGAATAAATAAAAATCAACGATAATAGTTGATATTTATTCAGATAGATGGCGCAAGTCATCAATAACTTTCAGTTGCACGATAAGGAGATGCCTATGAAAAATATTATAGACGCGTATGATTATTTTTAAAAATAAACAATTTCTACTGTCTTTACTGTAAAGGAAAAATAGATGGGAGGGCCTGGCTCATCAGTGGTGAACCCTACCAGCGGTTTCGCCGGTTTAATCTACCTTATATAAATTGTTTAGCTCAATATATAAAAACGATGATGTTAAGATTGTATTAATGTTAACAATAATAGAGGTAATTATATATTTCCACACTACAAGGAGCCTATGTCCAATGTTGTCTTAAGCGACCATTCTTAAAGATCATTGTTAATATTTGGGAATATATTTAGGTTATATGCATGTTATGATTAGAATGTTTTGATGTTGGAATGATAAAGAATTGAAGGTGCAGTCATGAAAATAGGAAAGATAATTATTTACCCATCAAGTAGTTTTCATTTTGAATTACTTGAAGCAAATTACACATAAAATTATTTATCACAGTAATATAGAATTTATAAAATGAATCCTATATTCGTGAATTAAAAAATAGGTAGGTTAACTTTACATATTTACAACAATATTCAAAGTGTTCTAAATCTATGGTCAAAAATAAAAGAACAGTCATTGATAAAAATAAAATACGTGTTTTTTAAAAATAGAATATTTGCATTTTAGATTATATAATATACATATTTAAAAGGCTTCCTGAAAAATGAGAAAATTTGTTAAATATAAAAATGTCAATAATGTGATGATGAATGTATAATGATAAGAATTCTATTAAAAGCACTAGAGTTGGATACAGTTAGTACATTCTTCCAGAACACACATACCTTTTTATATATATATTCGTTAAATCCAAATCAACCTTTCATGACCCAAATTAAACAAATGAATTGAAAATTTCAGCTTTAAATTGTATAGTATCTTATTTTCAAATAATCAATATTTCTATCATTGATTTAATGGTTAATTATTATATAATTTGTAGGATGGTTGTTGCGTGATGTGTTGGTGTGGCTTGTGGAAAGGCTGCTCTCTTATAAAATTATAATTAAAATTAATTTATTTAAAGCCATAAATATAAAAATAGAAAAGAAGCAACGGTTGAAGCAACGGCCGCCGGAGTTAGCCTAGATGTTTACCGCGTGAGTGCCAGATCAAGTGTCGGAAGACGCCCGTCGCTAGAAAGTTCCGGATGACGCCCGCGCATGCGTAGTGACGTATTCTCCCAACACGTGCTTGCCGAGGCATAGTGGGGCCGCCATTTTTCTTCCCGTATGTGTTTTGAAGCTTTGTCCCAGTTCGCTGAAGCAAAGTGCGGTCGCCACAAATATATTACACGTTATCGATTGATTAAAACTAATAAATAAGATATAATATCGTTTGGAAATAGAACAATCCATATATAAATATTTAATTAAAAAAGCATATATTTGATCAAAATATCTTTTACCAATATTTCAGTTGCTGAACGCCAACCTTTATCAAGGTGTTATAACATATTTAATGTTGTCAACAACAAACTCAGCGCCACATAACGTCAACAGAATGTGGCGCTGAGTTTGTTGTTGACACACATTAATATGTTATAATACCTTGATAAAGGTTGGCGTTCAGCAACTGAAATATTGGTAAAATATATTTTGATCCAATATATGTTTTTTTAATTAAAGATCTAATATGTAAATAAACATTTTTAAAATATAAAAGTACGGTAATTCGAAGCTCAAGGGACGAAAAGTTCGAATTATACAAGTTCTACTGTATTTTGAAACCTATGAACATAAAGTGGTTTGAACGTTTATAACAAATATCTACATAGGATATAACGTGTGGTTTGGCAAGAAATAAAATAAAAGAGCCTTCATAAGAGGTCATCTAAATATATTCTGGTGTTATCAGAGGCTGTGTTTGTTGTGTTCCTACAAAGGTGGTTTGACACTCTAATACCTGGAATTGTGCTGAGGACATAGGAAGATTAAAAAGTCACAGCGAGTCACGAAATCAATTATTCACCATAGAAATTAGAATGCAATCAAGGCAGAATGTCACAAATCCATGTCAGACATTGTAATCCCACCGCCATTGTACCTCAATTACACCTGGGTGTTGTAACTTGTCTGATGTTGTTGGTATATGAATAACTGAAGATATTTTGAAACTTTCATACTTTCTGTATGATTCTCAAGCATACTTATCAAATATTCCATCAGTTTTGAGTAATAATTTTGTTTAAAGTATTTTTCATTGAAATATTTTGATTCAAAATGAGTTTAGTTGCATTAATACTGTTGCACCAGGTTGTGGCTTGACAGACTCTTCAACCTTGATTCTCTCCTGTGCTGGGTCTTGTATATTACCAGAGCGTGTTTCAACCATCCTACAAATTTATATAAGTGGAGATAACTTTAATTAGCCTCCAGAATTTATTTCTCACATCAAAGAGAGCAGTGAAGTCACACAGTGTACCTAAATACAAGTGATGATTCTATAATACATAAATCTGTATCTGTTTAGTAAAATAAATAAATATAAAATATAAATTTGAATTTAAAATAATATCAAAAATAATATTACAAATTAAAATAAAATAGGTGCATTAGCCATGATGCAACAATATATATCATTTCAAAACCAACCGAATCTCTAGACTGGAGGAGGACTGAAGAACATTTCAGAGATGAATTAAAACTATAGAAAATGGAAACATTAAGACGAAAATGCCTTTTTCACATATTAAACAAACTTCTACTGTCCCCATAGCAATGAAATAAAATTGGGAGGGCCTGGCTCATCAGTGGTGAACCCACCCTGCGGCCTCGCCAATCCACCAGACCGCCTCTCAGAGCTCCAACTTTATATGGGACTCTACCGTCCTAAAAGCCTATGTGTCTGTACGAGAACCCGTCGCACGGGTTTAGTACACTACTCTAAATACCAAGGATGGAACAATACAACGCTAGGGTTCCATAATAAAGGACAAATCTCTACAATCAGTGAACTGAACTTGAATAAGAATTGAGAAGGTATAGACCAGCCCTGGCCAACCTAAATGACGCCATGGGCCGCACTGAATCGTAAACAAGGTCTAAAAACTTTAACTATATCAAATTTTTAACTTTAAAATGTATTTAAAAATACTTAATACTTCCTTGATGCTTAAAGTTCTATTTATATATTATTTTTCGGCTGCTTTTTTAAAATAAAAATAATAATAACAATCTAAAATTTAAAAAAAATATTTCTCTATTAATTACCATTATTCCTAACTTTTTTCTTTCTTTTTATGGAATAA